TCTTGGAGTTTTGGAACTAAATTGTAAACGTTTTTGTGTGTGAGGAAGATTAGCCCCAAGCTAACAGCTGTTACCAATCTTCTTCTGTTTGCTTGAGGAAGATTGTCCCTGAGCTAACATCTGTGCCAATCATCCTCTATTTTTTATGTGATATGCCACCACAGCATGGCTTGACAAGTGGTGTTAGGTCTGCGCCCGGCACCCAAACCGGCAAACCCTGGGCCACCAAAGTGGAGTACTCAAACTTAACCACTGGACCACAGACTAGCCCCTGTTTGCCTCTTCTTAATGAAAGACACAGTTGGTTTTTTGAGCTATTAATTATCTCAATAATAAGGTGGAGTGCCCAAAGTTAACCACTATGCCACCAGGCCAGCCCCCTAAATTGTAAACTGTTTTGATGGTCATGCCTTGGGTATGTTGGCTCCTCCTCTCTCACCTCTCCCCCCATTATCCCCATTATTACCTGGCCTTCTATGGTACCTGGTGCACAAACACAAAAATATGCACATATTATATATTTACTGAATAAATGGATAATCTAAGAAATAAATATATTAAAGTTGAGGGCAACCAAAAATTATCCTAGAGTATGAAACACACAGACCATGATTGATTCAAAGATTCTTCCAGAAATATTAGCTGCCCATCTTGTCCAAAATAGCATTGCAGTGATGCACATTTTTGGCCAAGAAGCCAAAGTAAGGAAGAGGTGTGGGGTAGGAATATCTCTTTCAGCAGCATATTCATAGCCAAAAAATGTTCTGGGTCACACATATGAATTAATTACAAGAAAAGCTAAATTTTTCTTCAACACAAGAAAGTCAAGTATATTGTAAAAGGTTTTGCCAATTCTTTTGGTTTCTAGACAAAAGAGCAAAGGGATCCGTGTATCTAATAGCAAACTCCTGCTTCCGAGAAAAAGAAAAGAAAAACCAAAACCTCCTCACCAGAATCAATGAAGTGATCCATGGGACACCAGTGAGGTGCCATCAGCCTCTCTTACAGTATTAATTATTGTTAATACAGGCTGGAAAGAAAACACTTGGCCCTGGTCCTTGTAATGATTTCTACTCCAAGAGATAAGCCACTAAAGGGCATGGGGGACCCTCTCAGTTCAACTTTCAAACCCTCTGAGCTCATGGAATTGCTCTAGACTATGGACCACAAAGGCTTGATTCTAGTTCCCCTTTGTGATCAGAGATTTGGCTCTATTTTTTGGTGCATCTATGGGATGCCTCAGTATCCCTACAAGGAAAATGATACTCAAATTCCCTCCAAAACCCACCACTCCTCTTAGTTTAGTACCTGTATGAAAGTGCCTCAGAAAGAGAAACATTATTAATTCCAGATATAATTATTACCTTTATATAACAGCATTGGGCTACTTCAATTACAGACCATACTTTTAAAATCTGTTAACATTCCCTTCCGGGAAAGCCCTTTTGCCCCTTAATAGTATAAGCTAATCATGGCAGTCTAATTTCCGGAGTTCATATTTGTAGGGGGAGATTGGCTGGCACTGGTATGCTCAGTTCTGTGATGACTTTCTCCTTCCCTCATCTCCTGAAATTATTGAGAGGTTCTAAGTCAATTTTTGAAAGTATGCAGAGGTACTCAGGAAAGCCGGGAGCAGAGACAGGAACCTGATCATTGCACTAACATCATTCTGTGCTTGGCACATATGGCACATCACGAAAGCAATACTGAGCATACTGGTCTATTCTGAACTCTTGCTGGCTTTAAGCGGCATTCTTAATTAAAAGCAGGCCTGCTTTTTAATCATTTACAGTCACACAGTTCTCCATTTATTTAATTGGTGAAAATGTCATTTTTCCATAGAGGTATTTTCATCCTTTATATTTTTAAGTACATGCAAAATAAAATGGGATCCTGCAGTGATCTCAAAACCTGCTTCTCATATGCATTTTTTAAAAATCCTCATCATAATCTCTGCAACTGGGTCAGCTTGCACAAAGATGCTCCGGGTAGCCATGAGCGCTTTCAGTTCCCTGCAATCCTTGTAAGTGACACCTCATAATAGTGCAAATGAAGCATGGCATGATGAGAAAATGAAGAAGAATGAACCTGGATAGTCAACCCAGCAGTTTTCAAAACCTAGAGGGTAGACTCAATTTTATTCCCTAACATACACCACACATGATTTTTCTTTTACACATTCAAGCATATACATGCTTCCCCTATTATGAGATTCCAAGGAATTCTAATACAACCAAACCCGGCTCATTTTTTCATCTACATATGTATCTTTGCAATAGTCTTAAATTTTGAACTAAATCTCGTTTACACCTGCCTTGATTTTAACCTAGGAATTTATCTTACTGGCACTCACCTTTGTGCTTTCCCTTCACGCTCATCTATTACGCTCAAAGACTGTTTCCTTGTGGACCCTTTGTCTAATTAGCTGAATATTCAGGGAGTTTATTGACCCAACAAATTCAACATCACCTCTTTCTTATTAGGTTTCTTTTAAGCCATCGCCCTGTCTGCCCCACTCTCAGCCCCTCTGCATCCCCGCTCACTCACATCTCTCCATCCCCCACACTCAGAGGCTTATTGCATTCTTAATGTTCTTTGATTGTTCTCTAGTCAGAGTTAATTCTCTCTTTTCAAGGGATGAAGTATGAAAAATTCACACTCAGCTTTTATTTGGAGAATTGGCTCCTGACAGGTAAGTTTGCTCCTCTGATTTAAAGAAACAAAAAGAATTAGGAAGCTTCCTCCAAAACACTGTGTGCAAGGAGGGTGAGAGTTTCAAAAACAAATAAATATGACCCTACAAGAGACCCTTCGCAGGAAAGAGTAAGTTCTCTGACCCCAAAGAAGAATACCAACTGCTGCTCACATATAATTTTCTCTACTATTCTTCTTTCCTTTTTCTTTTTCAGTGATAGATGCACCTGGTTTTACATTCACAAGCAGAGACAACCGCTGTATTCTGGAGGGAAAGAAATGTTGGTGGAGACCAGCAGACGGCGCCTGACTGGGGTCGAAGCTGCAGTGGTCGGGGAAGGAGTGACTCTGCGGCAGGGGCCCCTCACTGCTCTCTCCCCACGTCCCCAGGCACTCTCCCCATTCAGCCGCCTCATCCCTTGGGGAGAGGCAGAGCCACAGAAAAGAAGTTACTATGCATATAAGATTATTAGCCAAGAGCTTCCCACTGGTACGATTAGGCGCCCCACCCCCTCGCATACCCCCATCTGGCTCACCGCACCCACCCACGCTCTGTCTGCCCCTCCTGTGTCCTGGCTGGCCTGCCTCCCCCGGAACTCACACAATTCTGCACAAAGGCAGGGCAGTGGGTGAGAGATGCACCCAGGTAAAGGCAGCAACAAGCTCCTAGAATACTGTGAGCAAGTGGTGAGAGCAACAGAAACTCCTTACTGTTTCAGAGGGCTCTCAGCTAAGAAGCCGGGGTTTGGGGCATCACTCGGGTCTCCATCCCAGCCAGTCTTAACTGGAGAGAGTTCTTGAGAGGGAACTGGGTGAAGGAAGGGAAGGGATTCCTAGGATCCACAGTGAGGTGTGTCCCTGTGCCACTCCTAAAGAGGATTTGCCAAGGAGATGTTTCTCTCTTCGGTTAGGTTCGGCTATAGCTTCTTATATCTAACCAGAATTGTCCCCAGGTAGAAAGCCTGTCCCTGGGGAAGAGGGCCATCCTGGTATAGCCAGCAGCTGATCAGGGGAGAGGAATTACGTAGAGAAAGGAGCAAAGCATCCAGAGCTGATCCAAGTCTGAAAGAGGAAGGGGCGCTTCAGGGAAAGTCGGGGGAAAGGATAGAAGAGAGAGTGTTCTCAACTTGCACCCTGCTTTTTAATGTAACAGATTTTATACTGAGGGGGAAGAAAGATTGAGAGCGGGGAAAGACAAAAACAGTTCGATATTTTATTTATTCGCAGTTCGGGGAATCTGAAATAGGTATTTATCTGAAGATGAGAGGAACCTGGTCTTACATTTCTGGTCACTCTGGAGAAGAAACCTGCCAAGCAAGGCTTTTCTCCACATGCTGCTCTTTACAAAGGAACCAAGGAGGGTGAAGAGAACAGCTTTTCTCTGCTCTAAATTACCTTCCTCCAGGCAGACCTCCTGACTTAGACCAGGCAGCACTGACCCACCTACTCTCCCTGGGAAGCACTAAATTCTGAGAAGGAGGAAGCAGGACCTCCCTTACCCCAACAGCCTTCAGACATGATCCTCAGGGAGTGGGTTTGGGTACCCAAGCCTTTCTCTGCTCTATTTAGAAAATAACTCAGCCCAGTCAACAAGAAAAAAGAAGCGTACATGTGTGTAGGCTGGGAGTACGGGGATGGTGTTCAGAGGTCCCCTCCCAGCCTGGTAGGGCCTGGCCGGAGTAGGAGAGGGTGCCTGAGTTACCCTCCTACCTTCTCCAATTAAAGGAAGAGGTGGGAGAGGTGGGGGCAAAAGAGATTGGCCTCCTGTTGAGTGAGTCCAGAACCAACCGCTTCATTGTCACTGGAGTCTGGGCACACTTTGGAGGAATGTGCAGGCTGGAACTTCTCCCTCCCCCACGCCAGGGAAAATGGGCAGGAGGTGGGGCAGCAGGCATAGCACAGACAAAAGGTTCTGCAGAGCCCTCCTCTCTCTGGCGCTCAGGTCCCTCAGCCGAGCGCGGCGCCCCATCCGGCCACACCGAGTGACCTTCTGGCTAGCAACGCCCCCTTCCCGCGGGCACCAGGCGCCCGGCCAGGGATGGTCCTTTAACAGGTGCCCACGTCTTCCTCCCGGCACCCCGACAAGGAACGCCCCTCCCACCCCTCACCACAAACACCCGCGATGCCTTCCCCCATCCCCTTTCTATTGTCTTCAAAGAGATAAGTGGTTCCCACCAAACACACCCAAATGCACCTCCCTTTCTCGCGCTCCCATTTCTCTGAGCCTTAGGGGCCGAGAAGCGAGCGCAGGGTTGAAAGAGGGGAGCGAGGGAGTAAGCCGCGAGAACTTGGCATCGCAGACCCACCGTGTCCGCCTCGCAAGGATGCCGGTGACCTGTAGATTGCAATAGGCACTGAATGATGCTTGCTGCTTCCATGGAAATGGTGGATGTGGTGCGCTCCCAAACTGGAAGCCCCCCATGCCACTCCTAGGAGGCCGCTGAGGGTGAGCGGGACTATCCAGAGCAGGGCCAGGCGCCCCCCTGCGCCGCCGCCGCCGCCGCCGCCGCCCCCAGGCGAGCCTAGCTCGGCGCCGCACCGGAGCATCCTCTGGTACATGGCAGGGCGCCCGCCGAGGGGCAGCCGCCGCGGGAGGCAAAGTTTGGGGCGCGGGGAGGGGAGAGGGCGCCGGGGAGCGGGCGGCGCAGGGTGGGCTGCGGGGCTGGCCGCCTCACCGCGCCAAATCACCCATCCTCTCCCTCCTTCGGACAGTCTTCTCGGGGTCCTGGAGTCCTCCGTGCCTTGCACCCCAAAGAATCCGAAACATAGCCAAGGCGAATGCAGCCGATGAGGGGCTTGTCCGGAAAGGCAGCCCCGGGGAACAGCAAGCGCGGAGCGGATGGCTGCTTCCAGATTTCCAGGGCTCCGGGTTCTCGAGAGGATACTCCCAAAGAGTTTCGGGCGAGAGTGCGTGCCGAGGGGTGGGGAGCGGGGAAATTGTTTAAAGCTCCTCCCGGAGGGTCCTCACTTCTACATGACAGCCATCCACCGCGAATCCACTAGGTAAATCCGTTTAGCATTGTGTGTGAGGACTGGGGAGGCCACTTCGCCGGCCCAACTTCCTTTCAAGGGAGAAGCAGACCCCATGGAATCGAGGTGCCTCTTCCCTCCATTCAGCCCCGGCCGGCTCGCCCGCTTGCGCCAGCCTCCCCCGGGCAGCGCGCGGAGCAGCAGCGCGCATCGCCTGCTCCCGAGGCAATCTCCGCGTCCGCCGCCTCCTGACACTTACGCCCGGCGAGGGGTTCAGAAGCAAGAGTGCACCCTTATGAAGGAAGCTGGGATCGAACGGGGGAAAGAGAGCTGAGAAAAAGAAGCAGCAGACGAAGCGGGGCGGGGGTGGGGGGGGAGAAAAAGAAAAAGAAAAAAAGAAAAAAGAAAAGAAAAACCACACACGCTGGCGAAGCGAGGGGCTCTATGCAAATCTGCAGTCTCCAAACAGCAAATCACTGAAGCTCGGATGCAATGCAGAGGACGAGCCTATGTAACGAGGGAGGCTGGTCTAGCTTCCCACAAAAATCGCCCTGCTTTGCCTCTCATGCATTCTCCACACATCAAAGGGACACGTGCACGGCGATGCGGGGAACACCTAAAAAGCAACTCTCCCTCCTCTACCAGGTGATCCCTCCGTCTGAATTACAATGGCAAATGGCACCCTTCCTCTACCCCTATGGTTTAGATGTAACCAGTGTCTTGAGAGCTCTTAAAAGGGAAAGAATTCGGCTCTTTTTATTGGACCAAACTTGTTCTGCCAGGTGTTCAAACCCGATCTGCTAAATATGGCTTGACACCATCTACTCAAGCATCAGTTTTGATGATCTGTTAATTACACATATTACTCATAACAAAGAGTCCTCATTCCCCACTACAATATTATATCCCATACAGGGCAGTGGAAGTGCAGAGAACTAAAACACACAAGGAGGAAAAAGGATGAGTGAATTCGGCAGCTGAGGAAGAGAGAAAAAGGAACAATGAAAGAGAGAAAGAAGACGGGTGGGAAATAGCACAGCAGAGAGAGAAATAGTACGAATGAGATTGCTTGTATTTCAGTCAAACATTTAGGGATATTTAAGGGCTCCCCAGATCTCTATAGAAGCCCAGCTCTGATGATCTTTTTTAAGGGTGGAGTTCTTCCTTTTATCCTGTCTCATAAGGAAACTAGCATCGGAAACAAAAATTTCTGAATCTAGTGCTCCCAAGGAAGTGAGGAAAGTTATATCCTACTGGTGAAATGCAGTGTCTTTAACTGGAAACTATGCAGCCTGGTTGAAAGACCGGCAAAGCCAACACACACTTAAAGGTAAAAATCTAGCGCAGCAAGTGCACTTGGCAAGGACTACAGGCACTGAGGCCGGCAGGTAAGATTTGCCCGTGTGACTGAAACACTCCTAGGTTTCCAAAAGGTGATAGCAACTCTGACATGTCTAGTGGCTGGACATTTTTTGTCTTTATTCTTATTTAAAAACAAAGGCAAACAACTATGTATAGGTCCTACTTTCCACAGGCTCCTCACCATCTACCTAATCCCTTATATCAACAAATATAAAGTCACATATTGAAAAAGAAGGTAATTCTAGAAGGATTTTATTCATATTAGCCACTCATCCAAGTGGCCACTTAGACTTGTAAATTGCTTTTTAGTCCATTCAAAGAGATGACCCTGGGTGTCTGATGGTCACCATGTAAACAGTGACCAGGCACCACCAAATCAAATCTGTAGGAATCTGACATCTCGCATTCCTGTCAAAAGTTTATGTGATTCTACTAAAAAGATAATTCTTCAGTTGTTCAGTAATTGAAATGGCTTAGCCATGCTACAGAAGGTGCTTTTATGTACTTAAATATGCCACGTCTGTCTCCCGACTTTCCACAGCTGTTCAAAGACCAACAGAACCCAAATCCAGCACCTTCCACTGTGTACTGTTCCCACCCTGATCCTCGGGCCATTTCCTCTTCATTTAGTTATTTTAGCATACGTATTTTAATTCACTAGTCAAGGGTTGTGAGTATTCATTTTTAAAGTAGCAGGTAGAGCTTCAAAAGGAAAAGAAGAGGAAAATCCTCACAGTGTGGTTTTAGGACTCTAGGTTCATATTCTGAGTTTTATATTTCATGGTGTTTGTATGGATACAGCAGAAGACTAGGAGGTAGGAAACCCGCACTGCATTCTGGGCGCTGCCGTTTACTGGTTATGTCACATTAGTTACTTAGCCTTTCCCTGAGGCCCCGTGGCTTCCTTTATAAAATAGTCATGTTCCTATCCTTCCTAACAATCCCACAGGGCAGGGAGGATATAATGCAATATTTAATGTGAGAGTGCTTTAAAATATATCATATGTGCCCCACTATGAAGGCATTATGTCTTTCCTCCCATAGAGGTCTAACGTATTCAAGCTGTTGAGCCTGCACCATTCATTCAGTTCCCTTCCGTCTATAGGAGATGTAGAGCATTGCATTACTCTCCAATACCCTCATATATGGGGTTGACTTGTCCTTCCCTCCCCAACTAGATGGATTCCTGGAGGAGAGCAGAGTTAAATCTTCATTTGTACTCCCTCTAGTGCCCAGCATATGTGAAATGTAAGTTAGTTTCTTAGTACATACAGTCAATTCTCATTATTCCCAGTAGTTACGGTCTAAAAAGTCACCAGAAACACTAAATTAGTGAAGACCGGACCATTGCTCCTAGGGGTTAGGTTCCTGCAAACCTCTGGTCACCACATTTTCATCCACTGATCAATATACAACCTTGTTTTATGTGTTTTTCTGTTTAAAAACACCTTATTTAATATATATTGTTGGTTCATTAACACTGAAATCACAGTCAACATCACTATTATAACTTAAGCCTGCATGAAGCTTATCTGACATACCTATTTCCTCTGCATATCACAGGCTTCTTGTGTTGAGGAACATTAGACAGCACTTTAGCACTATGTTTAGGGCCCATTTTAAACAGCAAAATCACCAATAAAAAGCACGAAAATGTGCAAAACATGGCGCTAAATAGATCACAAAAAGGACAGTTGTTTACAGTACAAGAGCTGAAACAAGAAGGCGGAGTGTTGCATTGTTTGACCTCAGCTGGGAACGTAGCTGTCAGGGACTCATATTTTTTGCCACTCTGTGTATGTCTGTTAATGATCACCAAATTGCCCTGTGGTTTTGGTTTAGGGGTTACAAATTTTAGTGGGGAGGTGAATTCATATCCGTGAATAATGAGGATTGACTCTATTTGTTATTCTCTTGATTAATAGGGAACGATGGGGCTGGGACTTTGCAAAGAGATTTGTATAAATTAAAGCAATAGGAATAGAATAAATATAGAAGATTCTGAAGAACCTTCCAGAGCGTTCAATGAAGAAAAGGCTCCACTGTCTGTCTTATATTGTCTTTGGCCTGGGGAGATAAAGGCAAAGTTAGGGAAAGGATAGGCCAGAAATCTCAGTTTTACTGGAGTCTCAAGAGCTAAAGAAGAAATATTTATGGCTGCCTCAAAAGAAGAAATTGTAGCTGTAGTGTTTCAGGCAGATGTCTAGGGCACCTTTGCAATACCTAGGAGGTTCTGGGGTGGATGCTGTGATACTGATGCTGCAATATCTGTTATAAATGATTGTAATTTGTTGGAGCAAGGAGCAATTCTTTGTCCAGAAAGTAGAGAAAAGTCTTGTGAGCAAACACATGCCTAATCTGGATGGAACAAATAAAGCTTGTGCTTATTCTTTGTGTCTCTTCAGGTGGTCAGTCCCTGTGGTTGGAAGTGCATTATCGAAAGGAAACTGAGGCAGCATCTGACAAATTGGTCTTAGGTGACTGAAGAATTCGTTGGAGGAGACATGGTGCTCAGCTGCCTGTAATTTACTCTTCAATATTTCAGCAAAGACAGTGTGATATGAATGTTTGTTAGTGTTGTTCTGTATCCCATGAGAGTAAGTTGCCTTCATCAGGAATTTATGCTCCTACATCTCAGCCAGAATTATGGAAGCCAGAGGTGGCTTCTAGAAGCCTTGAACTATCATCATCTCCAATCATGATGTGACTTTGTAAATTAATTACGATGTATGTTGGAAATAGGCTATCATTGGTGAAATAAATGGCTTGTCAAATGGTGTAATGGAGGTTAGGAATGGGTTCTCTTTGGTGAAATCATTAACATTCAAGATATGTGGATTGGCCAAAATACTTTATAGACATTCTTTCCTTCTACTTGAATAGAGTATGTGAATCTAAGATGCTTTTCACACTTTACTTTAAGAAATGGTGCCATTATAATAGTAATAATAAGAACTAACACATTTTTGACTGGCCCAACTCTGAGAGATGTAAATGTATTAGCTCATTTAATCAACGCAAGACCATATGAACTGGCTGCTGTTATTGATTCCTAACAGATCTTAGTTGTCTAATTCTCACAGACGATAAGGCGGATTCCGCCACTGAAATACTGCCATATTTGCTTCTGGAAAACCTTTTTTGCAAGACATTTTTCTGGTACCTAAAAGAACCAAGAGCTGGAACTTCATAAAGATTCCAGAACAAGCTATAAGTGCCTACTTACTAATAAATGTCTGTTTCTGTAGCAGAAGCTGTTCTGCATCTTAGCTTTGCTGTGACCTGTACTTGTGGGAACTCTTGGAAGAGTGGTTAGCCGTCACCCGCCTCTAACAACTGTGGCTACTGAGATCTACCAAAAGAACCTAATAGCTATGCGTGGGACATTGTCTTAGGCCCATTCACAGCGGATGATTTTTCATGAACAAGAAGGCAGGTAGCCTAAGTCAGACAACAGTGTTAAGAAATGGGAGATGGCTTTGAAAGCTGAGGGAACAAAACAAAGGAAATGGAAGGAAAGAAAAGAGGAGAGTGAGTGGAAGGAGGAGTGTGTGGAGAAATGGAAAAGGACACATCATTTCAAATTATATTTTCATTTTCTAAAAATTAACCCTTCTGTCTCAAGAAACAGGATGATTGTCAGGCAGACACTTTCAACCTTTTCATGTTTTTCTCAAACATAATTGGAAATTCTTACATCTCAGTAATAAACTTTTTAAATAGAAAAGTAGACACTAAAAGCAGCAGAGGAGACGTATATTAAAACCCACAGGCAGCACCAATCTTTTAAAAATTAAAAATGAGGAGCATGTCAGTCTTGAATTTTGCATTATTACTGGTGTCTGCACAAAGAAAAGGCAAGCAGACCCCACATCTACCTGTATTTCTGAGTTGGGACTGAGAGAAAGTAAAAAGGGAGAGAGACAGAAGTTGTCTGTGAAGGTGTAAGGATAACCCTCTGATCTTGTTACCTTTCTGGGTTATTGCAGGTCCCTAAGGGTATTCTGAGAAAAGATCAGAATAGAAGAGTAAGAGCATTGGGAGTAAAACAAAAAAAAAAAAAAAAGAAAGGGAGAAAAAAAGAAAAGAAATGCCAGGGCTAAAAGCATTCCTGGAGATTTGGTAGTGCAATCTCTTTATTATTCAGATGATATACTTGAGGCCCACAGAAGTGATAACGTTATTGAGCAGTCAGGTTTATTCATGATGTGTTTACCTATCTAGAAGTGTACTTTCATCTCCCACCACTCATAATCCAGTCATAGATGTTGATTGGTGAATTCAGTCAAAGTAAGTATTACCTAGAACCTCCACGTTGATATAATAAATGAGGGGGAGTAGTGAGAACCCAACATGAGCCAATATGATACCCAATTCACTTAAATTAAATCAAAGCCTAGATGTGCAGATTGATTTGTGAAATATTAATAGATTTATTCAGTCAATATTCGTTATGTTTAAGACTAAAGTATTTTATGGTCTCTATCTTTTTTCTTGTACTACTTTGTAAAATTTTTTAAGATTTTATTTTTCCTTTTTCCCCCCAAAGCCCCCCAGTACGTAGCTGTGTATTTTTAGTTGTGGGTCCTTCCAGTTGTGGCATGTGGGACGCCACCTCAGCATGGCCTGATGAGTGGTGCCATGTCCCCACCCAGGATCCAAACTGGCGAAACCCTGGGCAGCCGAAGCGGAGTGTGCCAACTTAACCACTCAGCCACGGGGTCGGCCCTCTCTTGCACTACTTTTAAAAAAACTTTCACTTATAACATCATACATAAATGTGTTGCCTAGGCACCAAGGCAGAGTCATAGAGATGTCTCCATAACTGCATCTTTAAGTGTTGTGAGCATTGCTTGGGCACCAACCAATCATATACCGTCTTGCAAACACTGTCATATAGTTTGTATAGCTATTTCAACCAACTTGTGTTCCTGACAAACTCTTCAACTGGTTCATGCTCTTTTGATTTTAATGTGCTCATAATGTAGTAGGAGAACATAACACTATATGTAATGGAATCGGAGCAGTTCCTAAAATATATTAAACACTAAATATAAGTTATTGTCATTTATTCGTATGCACATGTTCTAGATAGGTACTAAAAACATAATGATAATGAGCTGTAATGTGATTTTTAATTTAGCCCTATTCCAAACTTTCCCCACTCAGTCTAAAGTCAAGTTCAGCCACCTCCTCAATAATTTCTTAGTTTAGTCTCTGTTTCTCTCAGTCTGTGGTGCTCAAACTTTAGTGTGCCCAGGAATCACTAGAAGGGCTTCTTAAATCATAGATTGCGTTGCTTTTGATTTCCTTGACCTGTAGAGGGGCCTGATAATTTGCATTTTTAACAAGTTTCCAGGTGATGCTCATACTGCTAGCCTGGGGGAATCAGATTTCAGAACTACTGCTCTGTCTGAATGTCATATTGTTCCACACAAGTTTTATTAACCAACACAGGGAGAGCTTTCTAATTAAGCTCCTTACCAATTACCTCACTTCTTAGCAGTGTACTCTAAACATAGACAATAGTGCTGTTCTCAGATCTCTTCTTTAAATCATTCTTTAAAGACTTCAAGATGTCTACTATATAAACCTACATGTCCTCATCTCACACCATGTAACTATAAATTCCCTTTACTTGGAAAAAAACTATTTCCTTTTCCTTCCCATCTTTCGTATTTGAGCTCTTCTTTGGTTAGCCTGGTCAGTGGCTAGAGGCAGGAACTCCAGCACTACACTAGGATTCAATTCTGACTCTACCAACTTATTAGCCATGTGGTCTTATGCAGGTTACTTAAACTCAGTTTTCTCATCTGCGAAAGAGGTTGATGATTGTAGGGTTGTTGTGAAGATTAAACGAGTTGACATTCAAAGCATTTAGAACAGTGTCTGTACTAGATGTCTAGTACATATGTATTAGCATTTCTTTACTTATTTATTGAATGGATTATTCTTTCCTCTTCTTTTATGGTATAGAAAAAATCAGACTCGATGAGAATGCTTGTTTCCATATAAAACCTAATACTGGCCATCGACATAAAAAAATAAAAAAAAACCCAAGACGTGCTCTTCAGGTCCTGGCATATCAGGCCACCAGTCTGACCAGCATCAACTACAGGAAAGATCAACGACAAAAACCGATAACCTGGATCTGTCTGCCTGCGTTCACTAGAACATTCTATTATACATATCCATCACTACAGAAGAAACATGGGATTGTTGAGAATGGAACTAGAGTTGGAAGGACAACTATAAGGCAAGTTAGGATGATATAAAAAACAAGACATGATTTGCAAATTCCTTAGTAAACAAAGATATTCAAATCCAGAACCAGACATCACGCACATTCTATGAGTTTGATTTCCTGAATGCCCAAGCACTTAGGGCATAAACCAATTGATCTATCACTATGAATATATGTTCTGGAGCATATATTGCTATTTGAATGCACTGAAAGGGATTTAATCAGGCAATTTGAATTGAATCTCTAAATAGGTTTATCTGGGATCTATAATCTAATCTCCATCCAATTCAGGACAAACACATTAGATTATACATTTTGTTAGAGAGATATTTTGATGTTAGTACTATAGTTAAGTTACTGCGACTATCCCACTACAAAGATCTGTTTTCCAGGTAAAGTCAAAGTTCTTTAGCATGGCATATTAAGCCCTTCAAAATCTGCCTCTATTGTCTTATCTTTATCTCAACTTCTCCCACAAACATCCTAGGGTCTAGTCACAGGCCTTCTCTCTTCCCTACACACAGCGCACACTCTTTTCTTCTTTGTCATTGCCCGTGCTATGCCCTCTGTAAGAACAACCTTTTCTCCTTCCTCCCTCTCCTAATATCCCGTTCATTCTTCCACCAAATTTTAATACACAAATCTCTGTTGAAAAATTTTCTGAACTCTGCCAGTTATTTGCTACTTTCTCAAGTATAGACTATCACAAATACCTAAGCAAATACTCGGAGAATGTAATAGTGTCTTGACATTATTATTGTGCTGAATGACTGAAGTATCAAAGCAACTGGTTAAGTCCACCGCCAAGGTTAGGAATTTAAAATAACCAAAACCAACAAACAAAGGAAACCAATCCTCTTCAGTTTATCCTTGAAGGTTTTTGGTTAGCTCTTTTCTTGCCTAAAATATATAAGAAATTTAGGCTGAACCTTAATTTGAATGCTAAGTAAACTGGTTATGAAGGATAATAGAATTCATTGTTGTATTTTCCTGCTCATGTTATAAACAGATGTCTTTCTTTCCCATACTATATAAAAGGAAAAATAAAACACCACCAAGCAAAGATGCCTGCTGCCAAGTCGAACTGTGGCACCAACATTTATAGCCAACTTATAAATCCTTGAAAATAAGGTTTTATAATGGAAATACTGGCACCATTTTAACAGTAGCCATTCAAATAAGATCATTATGGCAGAACTTCTAATCGAATCTATTTGTTCTAAGCTATCAATGTTCTTAAGCTACCAGTGTCGGAAAAACTTTCAGTGGTTCAATTCAAATTGCATGATAATTCCACATAGTTCAAAATCTCTTAGAATATTTATTTCAAGATGAATAGTAATAAATAAAAACATTTATTCTTAAAAGATAGATCACATTTTTTGATACTTGTATAAGAAATATATGACCTCTGAGGCATTTCGAAAAACCTTTAATTGGTGTTTTGTTGTTTTTTTTTAACTGTCTTCTTTTTCTCTCGTGAAAGAATTACTTTCCTTCAGATTTTCTCTATTCTATTGCTGAAATAATTCCCCAAGAGTCTGTGTGTTTATCTTGACAGGTGTTAGATCCCTAGACCTCTGCGGTATTGTTCCTGGTCGCGTTGAGGTACAGTGGCAAACATTACGTCTTCAGACTAATGAACTTACCTTATTGCATTCTAAATAAAAGAAACCACACAGCGAGTGGAATTAATCTGCTAATGTCTTCCTAATGAAGCTTTCATTAGGCATATGGTGTGGTCTTCAATATTTAACACATGATAGGTATTAAAACAAAGCATATCTGATGATTTTTTAAATGCATACTTAATGATTACCTCATATATTACTTTCAAATGAACTAGTTTACCCTCAGATTGCTTTAGGCAACTAATCAAAGAGGCATAAGAAACATTTCTAGACTTAACCGAATATTTTCATCCAAATGGAAAGAATAAGTGAATGTCTCATCTACCAATACCCTTAAACAACTAAAACTGAATTTGCTCTTCTAATTTTTAAGGATAGAGAGTTTTCTGTGCAATGCAAAATTTCACTCATTGTTAAAATTTAGAAGCCAAATATTGAGAATGGAACTGTTTTAGTCCAATTCATAGTGGTTTGCTTTAAAAGAATGCTACTTCCTAGCATAGCAAACACCAGCTTAAATTGTGGGGAAAACTGGGTACTTTAGCCAATGGAAGATCAACTGCAAACAAACATAATCAGTGTCCCTTCATATTGGCAATATTTTGATTTGTCATTTGTCAAAGAAAAAAAAATCAAAGCACCTCCCAAAAAAACCTGCTTACTTCAGAAAATCACCAGTTTTGGAACATGTGCTGTCCCATTCCATCCAATATTTGCAGTGGCATACAGAGAGGTACAAAGAAGTCACATCCTCATTGCTACACCATGCCAAATTCTTAATTTCCCTTTTCAGGTTCCTGTGTAAATTATCTCCTGCTTTGGTGTAATTACAGTTGTCCAATTGAGACGAAGATCTTATCAGTCATGCATTTTACTATTATTATTTAAATTTACTCATTTCAACTATGACCTACTGCCAAGCCTTATAGAGGCAAGAAAACAGACATGGTAAGAGAAGAGTAAAGGTGGGTCTTTCCTCCTTCAGCAGTAGCAGCCAGAAACAGTATGAAAGCAATGGATCATGAAGAAAAGCAATTTCCTCCTTGAGGGATTAGACAGTACCCTCTTTTATACTGTTAAATCAAAGTTTTAGTTATTTTTTCAAGTAATACTGATTTTTTTCAATTTACATAAATAGTTTCTAGAGAAACGACAAGACACCCCCAAATACATACCCTCTCAGCCAATCAGTAGAAGAGATTAAAAAAGAAGTCCTTCTTTATGTTGTACTGCTTTGAGCTAGCCTTTACACAGCATGGAAAAAAAACCCTAACAAACCAAAAAACTAAACCGCTACACAAGCTAAAGAAAATTAGCTTAACAAGGAAGTGTTTGAACTGATATGTGAGGTTTTTTTCTTTTCTTTCTTTAGGAAGAATATAGATGATTTTTATTTTTAAGCTGCTCACATTTGCTAGCATTAGAAAATTGAAAAGTATGTAATTTGCAGCAAATGTTTGCTTTACCTTAAGTTCACAACAACATGACCCAGTGCCATCAGGCAGCAGTACATTTAGATTTTAGAAAAATTTATAGGTTAAAACCGTGCTCTGGAATACCGCGTGAAAATCCTATCAATTTAAAATGCATTTACATTCAAGGAGGAGTAATGCATACTCTTAAACA